AAATTTAGGGACTTAAAATAAGAAACACATTTCTCACAATTTCTGGGGGTCAGGAATCCACACAGGGCTTAGCTGGGTGCCTTTGGTTCAGGGTCTCTTACAAGGCTGCAGCTGAGATGTTGGCTGCACAAGTCATCTCAAGGCTCAATTTGGATAAGATCCAATACCAAGTTCACCCACATGGCTGTTGGCAGGCCTCGGTCTTCATTGGTGGTTGGCTGGAAGCATCAGTTCCTCGGCACATCGGCCTCTCCATGGGGCTACGCACAACATGGTTCATTGCATCTTCCCTCAGAGCACGCACAGAGAGAGAGAGAGAGGCCACAGTCTTAACCTTGGGAGTGACATCGCTTCCCCTTTGCCATACTCTAGTATTCTTTTAGTTGGAAGCAAGTCACCAGGTCCAGCCACACTCAAGGGGAGCTGATTAACCAAGGGTGAGAATACCAGGAGTGGAGGTCACTGGAGGCCATCTCAGAGGCAGCCACCACACAAAGGGTTTAAGGTCAAACTCCTAGAGGTCACATATTCTTTTTGCTAAGTGAGGGCAGAGCCACATGCTGAGAGAAAGGGGGTGGTGGGCAAGACAAGCTCTGCTGCTCACCAGCTGTGTGAGTCCTGGGACCTGTGTGTCCCACCTGCGAGATGGGATGAGAATAAAGATGGCCTTGAGGGGTCGGCCCAGTGGCGCACTTAGCGCGGTGGCGCTCCCGTCGAGGGTTCGGATCCCACATACAGACCGGCCGCTCACTGGCTNTCACTGTGAGGGCTGAAGAAAGTGCTCTGTAAAGTGTAAAATGCCCTTTGGAAGTACCACTATTAAGAGGACAAGGTTGGACATGCAAGTATTGGGGATTTTGATGTTTTTTTCTTTTCTTTCTTTTTTTTTTTTTTTAAAAAAGATGACCGGTAAGGGGATCTTAACCCTTGACTTGGTGTTATCAGCACCACACTCTCCCGAGTGAGCCATGGGCCGGCCCTCTTTTCTTTCTTTTTAAAAAATCTCTTATTGATGTAAAACATAGACTCAGAAAGTGCACAGATCATATGTGTGGTCATGTTCCCTTATCTTTAAACATTCTTTTAAAATAAGTGAACTTTTATGTTTTTACTTTGTGCACCTTCCAAAACCTTCTATGTTGAGCTAGTATTACTATTATAATCAGAAAAGTACCACCTTTAAAAGGTATAGTTTCTGTTGATCAGAGTTTCCATTGTGAAACCACTTTCAAACTCCTTATCTTGTTTGGGCTGTACCATGCCCCAGGAAGAAAAGCCAAGAAGAGATTCATTTCCTTGTGGGTAAGATGAGGAAATCACTCTCTTCTTGGAGCTGGCAGGGGACTGAAGGTGGTGTCCTATGTGAGCACTGGGCAGGGAGCCACTGCCAACTCCTGGCACCAGGGCCCTCAGCAGGGTAGCTGCCCAGCACCCCACCCAGGGTGGCCACCGCAACCCTGATGGAAAATGCTCTGGCTCGCCAAATCCAGAGCTCCAGAAGAGGCCTACTTCTGGGAATCTGCCCTACATTAAGTTGTCATGATGCAGCCAAACTTTATGTGCAAATAGATTTAATGCAGCAGTATTTTTAATAGCAAAAATTTAGAATTAATAGGCCGGCCTGTGGCTCACTCGGGAGAGTGTGGTGCTGATAACACCAAGGCCACAGGTTTGGATCCCATATAGGGATGGCCGGTTTGCTCACTGAGTGAGCGTGGTGCTGACAACACCAAGTCAAGGGTTAGGATCCCCTTACCGGTCATCTTGTATATATAAAAAAAAAAAGGTAGAATAT